AAATTTCCCTTTTAATTTAAATTTTTGCTAATTAATTAACAAAAATATTTAAAAATCGAGTTAAATCAATTTTCCTTTCTTTCCATTATTTCTTTTGATGTTCCCTCTTCGGCAGCGCTGTTTGAGGGCTTCGCCCGAAACCCATCCCAACGGGGGGAGGCGAAACGCTGCTGAAATTTTAGTAAATTCCCCAAATTTTATTTCTACCCCTAAAAATCATCAAACTCGACGGGCTTATATATGTATTGATCCTTAATATATATAAACTAGAAAGAAATTTTATCTTAACTAAATACGTTTTCTTTAATTTATGATTGAAAAATACAAAAGAATTCCCTAGAAGAAGAAGGGAAAGAGATGCTGTGGTAACCTGGTTTCGGGTGAACCTACTAGCTTGTTCCCGAAGGCGTGAGGCAAGCGACGGGAATTTTCAGTTATAAATCTACACCTCCCTCTTGCTGCGTTCTGTCTAGCCGCCAGTTGAATGTGGCCGCGGGTGCAAGTACAGGTCTATGGGGCTACCATTGACTGGGACTTGGAGCCCCCTGAACTGATAAAGGGGAATCTGGTGGAGCTCATGATCCTCGGGCGTAACATTCGACACGTTGACGGCCAGTTTGCGTGGAGGTCCATAATCTTGTCCGAGGACGTGTGGCTTTGGACGTACAGAGAGCACCGGCCGGGGCAAGGAGTGGGCGTAATGAGAGCCTATTTGTATTTGGGACCGAGTGCAGTCAGGGAGGCCGTGGTGGACCTCACGACGACAGGGACTAGTGACACAGTTAGCAGGGCGTTACGCTACCTAGTGGAAGAGGTAGCTGCCTTCCGAGCGGAGGACTCGAGCGACCCGTTGACCCTATTTCACGGACGCCCTCCTCTTGATATCACGGGCGAGCTGGTGGTAGCACGGGACGGGTTTTTCCCGTACAACGTTAGGAGCCTGAGGGCGATAGTTCCGACGTTTGTAGTCTAGAGCGTCTTTGGAGGTATTGGTGGAGTGGTCGAGACATACCTGGCCTATCAGGATCTCAAGATCCTGGCGAGAAGGCCTGCCGACCTAGACTACATCTATTATTCGTTGGCAACCGGTGGGCCTCGTTGGGGAGACGAGAGGGTTCAGCTTATAGAGCTGATCCGCTCGATAGACGACGAGTGGCCCCAGTCTCCGTGCGTTTGGCATTGGCTAGACCGTGAGCTCCGAGCAGGCCCCGAGTACGTGACCTGCATCGCGCGGCTCTTCTCAGACGACTGGGAGAGCTGGTGGGGTGAGGACGCCGGGCGACCTCTGATATACGGCCATCAGTTGGCGGAATACTACCAGGGTATAAAACAGGCGCCATACCACGTCGAGGACGAGTTTGACGACGAGGGTTGGGAGCGAGAGAACGATGAGGACGCCTGGGAGCCAGACTGGGTCAACCCAGAGAGTAAGGTTGACGAGGAGGAGATTGACGTTACAGACGCCCATTTTCCCACGATAGGAGTAGCAGTCCGAGCGTAAGAGGTAGAGGAGCACATTAGGACGATGGTTGAGTCAACTTAGCTACTGATAACGACAGATAGTAGAGATCGGATCGATGATAGAGCAGATCAGTGGAGTAGAGCTTCAGATCGATGACGCCAGATGGCCGAGGCCTCCGGAGGCAGTAGCGCCAGGCCGGGTGGCGCTAGATCTATCTACTTCCATGGATCAGACGGAAGAGCGCACAACACCTACTCGACCATACTGGACCTGAGTGCGAGAGTTGTCTGAAGGGTTAGCAACGCCGAGAGATGGGGTGCATTGGAGGGAGTAGAGTGATGCTGACCGAGAGTAGGAGAAGAGATGAGGAGTGATTCAGTGGCCTGGTCAGCTTATGTTCTCTCACGAGAGTCCGAATCGTATAGTGTGAGGAAGCTTGTGCGACCCAGAGAGACGGCGGTTGGATACGACATACCACTTCCTGTGGCGTTAGAAGAGGCAGGGCGTGTACCGATACGATACTTGGGAGCGTGGCTCGCAGAGGGGCTCTTCCTTTGGACAATGATACTACGAGACGAACCACCCGAGATGACTCATGATCTAGAAGGGGTCGGACATCTGATAGGGGATAGAGCACACGATTTAGAGATAGGACTGACGCTCGTAGGGGCGAGCAGGAGTTGGTGGAGAAGCGAGTCGTTGGCCAGAGTGATCGTTAATCAGCAACTGGCGAGACTCTCTGGAGGGAGGACGAGTTGGAGCTGCTTGGTATACGGTCCACCACATCCGACCCTCTTACCGAGAGAGGATTGGCGATTCAGACTTCCTACCTTCGTAATAGGGCAGACCTATGGGAGCGTGAATCGTTTGAGTAGAGCAGTGGACCACACACTTTACGCGCTCTGGGAGGGCTTAGCGCCATTTGTATGAGGTGGGGACCGCCCAGTACAGAGACGCTTGACGACATCATAGACGTTACTAGCTGGGTGGACTGTCTGAGGCCAATCGATCTGATTAGGTACTGCATGAGACGGGCAGAGATTGATTACGTAGGGCTAGAGGATGTGAGATTTATCTTCGAGGCCGCAGCTTAGGGAATGCCGGGAAGGACGACCACGGTGATGCGTGTAGGAGAGCAACTGGTAAGCGCAGGATACACTGTGACAATACTTCTCCGAGCGTACGTAGACGAGGACTTGACAGTGAGGGAGTGCGGACAACGAGTCAGGGATTTGATCCACGAGCGTAGAGCTGATGTACTGGCGCGATATACCTTCCAGACCTCGATTTCCTATGATGTGATGATATGGTCTCATGACATTTCCATGACGAGACGGTAGAGGAGGCTAGAGCAAGAGTGAGAGGATGAGCTGGAAAAAGATGAAGACTGAGTATGGAGGAGGAGAGTGATTCAGTCGGAAGAGTGAGAGAGCGGATTAAAGAACCGCTTTTGAACCAGGTAAAGGAGTTAGGGAACAAGTTAAGGGAGATCTGGTCATGCCAGGATGAGAGCAAGTTGTGTGGGGTTGAGCTCGTGATGAGAGAGTTGGAGAGTCTATTTAGGGAGGAAAGAGAGATTATCCAGGCGTGGAGATCAGACTTTCTGGAGAGGGTAAAGGCTAGAAGCGTATCACGTGAAGGAACTAATGAGAGGTCTGCAAAGGTCGTGACAACGGAGGACGAGGTAACACAGGGAGGTAGCGACAAGACATGAGCGGGACTGCACTACACACGACGGATCGGTACTCATTGCATGTGGTAGGGAGATTGGACGGACCATTGGTGTTAGTGATCGTAGAGCTTCAGCTCCATACCAGACTGTGCATAGTTGAGGAGGCAGAGTGTGTCCGCCGTGCCCTGCGTGAGGCCAGGGGGACAGGACTTTGGATTGGAATAGAAGGAGGACGGAGGATAAAATACGTACCTCGAGTAACGCCTTTTGAAGGGCAGTCGCGGATAAGGGCATGGTACGAGACGACCAGAGAGGCTGAGAGGTTGAAGATAAGCGAAGCCAGGAAAGCTGGAGAGTTAGGGAGAGTTGTAACAGATGGTGCCATACTCAGGGTGCTAGCCGCTCACAATCGGTACTGGAAGGAGTCGATAAAGACTTTAGCGGCCATAGAAGATGATGGAGATGAGGAGGACTTTGAGACATTGTATGACATTTTGGAGCTGTTGGCGATGAGGTTACGAGTAGCTATAGCAGTGACTTACCTCAGGTGCTAGACAGATGATCTCATAGCTGTTTGGGAGTTGAAGGAGGAGAAATAGAGGTTGGAAACTCTTGGAAGGAAAGTACAGGTCAGAAAGGTCGGCGGATGACTTTGGATGGCAGTAGGAGGAGAGCTTCCACCTTCAGCAYGCTACCCGACTCATGACGGGCTAGGAGACCTAGCAAGGAGGGCGGAGTTAGACGCTCGGAGGCTCTTGAGGGGTTTTTGATTAGGAGACATAGGCTAGGCTTGGGACTGCGGTCCGCCGCAGGTGTAGAGATCCTGTCACGGCTATACTGCTGATCCAGAGAGGCGCGGCCTTGTTGGCCGATCCCGAAGGGGAGGTCTACCTAGACACAGGGATTCTTGGGATAGAGGGAGAGCACGAGATCCGCGACCGGAACCGAGTACTGGTGGCAGTGATCAGGGCAGTCGAGAGCTAGGGTTGGTGACGAGCGTGAACCGTGACAAGGAAACTGGTCCAGGCTGCGAGTTCTGAAACTGGTCCGGGCTGCGAGTTCCGTCACAGATCCGGGCTGCAGCAACTGTCATAAGTCCGGGCTGTAACACCCGGCGGGAGTGCCTGACTGCGTCTTCTGGTGGCCTATGGAACCAGACACGATGGGGCCACAACCGACCACGACCGAGACAGGAGAGAAGTACAGGACATCGCCCGACCGAGCTCTGAGGGATTTGAAAGAACGAATTAGGTGGGACGCACCGCTGAGATGGGTTGACCAAACCAATGACGGAGAGCCCGACGTAAGGGGCGAGCCGGTCGTGACGGAGCCGCAGGAGGCACTGAAGACGGGAACCTCGAGCGGTCAACGAGAAGCGACGAGACGACGCTCCCCCGAGTATGAGCGGAGGGAGACCATGGCGGATAGACACAGAGACAACTGGCGGGAGAGTTCGAGGGATTCCTATTGGAGGGACAGAGATAGAGACCGGGCGCCGCCCAGGCGAGTCTTCGACCCTCAGACAGGGGAGTCGCATCCGGTCCCTTACGAGAGCAAGGACCGCTATATTATTACGCACAAGGCCTCTGAGCCACCTACTTTTAGGGGTTATGGCCTCTGGAGAAGTGGGAGCTTCATGCAAGTCGGAGTCAGTGGTCGGAGGAAGAGATTATAGAGAACTTCCTATTTAATGTGGACCCAAGCCTCGACAAGGAAGTTAAGGAAGCCCGACCCAAGGATGGGAAATGGACTACGTACAAAAAGAACCTCGTAGAGCTTTACAAGTTGGAGGATAACAAGTACTCCATCAAGGACCTTGAAACGATGACTCAAGATGAGGATGAGAGCGTACGGGCCTTTGGGATGCGCTTCCAGAAGATCTCCGACGTGCTAATGAAGAACGGGAAGATCTCAGAGGTCGAACGCTGTACTATCTTCATCGGACACCTGTCCAAAGGTAGACAAAAGAGTATACTTAGAGATCTTCCGCGCGACAAGCTTGGCTTCCAAGAAGTCCTAAAGCTCGTGATAAAGGCAGAGGCAGACGATTACAAGGACTTGGTGTGGAGAGGGATGAGGAGACGTGACTTCTCTCTCTACAAGGAGTATGCCACTGATAGATGTCCTGATTTCAAGGACTATCCCTGGTCGGAGAAGAATGAGGTCGTGGATGAGGAAGTGAAGGAGATACGGGACATGGTGAAGGGATTGACGAGACAGGTTACAGAGATTGTGACCAGTACAGGGGCCACGGCCTACCGGGACAAACCTGGAGCGCCCTATTCACTTCGCTAGGACCGTAGGAACAACGATTCCTGGAGGAGTGTCGAGAATAGAAATCCTCGAACGTTGACTGATTATCGTACGAGGGGAAAAGAGAGAGACGATGAGCCATGACGATGTAGGGATGATGAGATAGACTGACACCGCAGAGATCGCGAGCCGTCTGCGCGAGCAAGGAGGCTGGATGATTACCCGCGAAGCCCTCGCTATGAGGCCGATCGGGGTAGAGGCGACTCTCGCGACCGATGAGAGACAGATCAAGGCCGACGAGATGGATATAGGGACGACAGATACGAGAGATCGGACCGAGATGGATATAGGGACGACAGATACGAGAGATCGGACCGAGACGTATATAGGGACGACAGATACGAGAGGTCGGGTCGAGATGGCTACAGAGGTGGTAGGTATGAAAGAGGAGATCGGGACTAGGAACGACGAGATGGGTCGCGCGGACGGTTTGAGCGTGGGGGAGATGCGAGAGAGCAGCGCGACGAGTCGCGGAGGTGGTACAACCGAGCGGACGGACGCGATGAGTCACGAGGGCGATAGGACTCGGGGGACCGCCGGAATGATTCGCGAGGGCGGTATGAGCAAGGAGGGTCTGGAGGAGACCCCCGCAACGATTCGCGCGGTCGGAATGAGAGAGGGGGATATGGCGTCTCATCAGAACCATATCCCAAGTCGCCTGACCCCAAGGCAGCCAGGAGTTCGATCTCTAGAAGCGCAGACGAAAGGCCATCTACTCCCAGGAACTCATGTATCTACTGTAGCGGAGAAGATCATATCAAGAGGGATTGCCCCGACCTCAAACGGGCAATAGATTGGGGACTTGTCGTGCTTGGCGACCGCAAGTACGTCAAGTGGGCAGATGGTCTGGGAGATGTATCGATGTTCCCTTCGATGAAGGAGAATGTCGAAGCAAGGAGAGTAAAGCCGAGTAAAGGAAAGGAGCCGGTCAGGAGCCAGAGCATCAAGATAACCTTTGAGGGGGATATGGCGACCACACTCATAAGGGTGGCAACCACCAAGTTGGCGAGAGGGTCTACATCGAAGAAGACTGATGGCGGACGGGTCGATGGAGAGGAGGTTATCCTTTCGCCGCGAAAGCAGGGAGTGAAGAAGTTCTTAATGAAGAGTTCGCTGGACGAGATTGACACGGCTGAGGCGGGCCCTTCGGCACGCATCGAAGCTGGCTCGTTATGAGTTACAGATGATCACGCGGAAGACACTCATACCTCTATCGGAGGAGGGTCAGGGGGCCCCTAAGGCGGAAGCTTCTACAGTAGTTGTAACGGGGGTGACTGCCAGAGCGGATCGCATGACGACAGTCCTTCTCGATGGAATGGAAGGTGTGCCTCGAGACAAGTTTTATATACTTGGTAGCGGGGCCGTGGAGACGATTATAAATGATGGAGCGGTACTCGATGCTGTGATCGATAACGGTAGTGAGGCTGTCATCATAGACGAGGACCTGGCAGTACAGGTTGGACTGAGCCTCGATAGGTCATACCTATTTGAGATAGAGATGGATGATGGGAGAAAGCAACAGATCACTGGGGTTTGTCACAAGGCAGCCATAGAGATCCAAGGGGTACGAGTGACCCTGCCTGTCTTTGCAGTCAAGAACTGCAGCTCCGACCTGCTCTTGGGTCGAACGTGGCTGAGCCACGTGCATGCGGTGACGATAGAGCGACCTGATGGGAGCSAAACATTGTCYATTAAGAAGCCAGACSRGACGCGGGTAATGATTAAGACAGTGGAGCCTCGGGACYCGAGGAACAGAGCAGCTCTCGCTGTGGGTGCGAGACCCAGTGATCAGATTAAGTYGTTACCTATCTCCRGCCGCGCGGTGCGATTTCGCGAGAAGAAATATGGACCACTGGTCACAGAGGAAGAAGGTCGGATCGTGGASGTGGAAGAYTTAGGGAGTCGGCTAATAGTGTACGGCAACTCGTACCCAAAGGAAAAAGATGAGGAATTTGGCGGTGTGGTATCCGTGTCTTTTTTAAGGGCACGGCCCCCTATGGGGGGCTACCCAAGCGACCCAAGCGAGTACCTCAAAAAGTTAAACCAGCGGCGGTGAGCCGTGAGCGATCTGCACTGGAAGGGATATCGGAAGAAGACATCGCGAAAGAAATCAAAGAAAGAAAGAGAAAGGAGCCGCAACGCCTAACGGAAGAGAGGATAGCAGGGATGAACATCGAAGATGGGAATTTGACCTCACAAGAGCGAGAACGTGTGATAGAAATCATAAAGACATATGATAAGGCCATAGCTTTTAGCGACGCGGAGCGCGGTAGGGTTGACCCTTGATACGCTAAGCCAGCAAGGATTTACACGATACCACATGTTCCCTGGAATTACGCGGGATGGAAATACGCCCAGAACGAGAAGGAAGAAGTTATCGCTTTCCTGAAAGAAAAGATGGTTTCCCATGTTGCGGAGCCGTCTGATAGCGCTTATGCTAATCGATGGTTCTTCCTACGAAAGCCGAATGGCAAGATCCGATGGATCCAGGACCTTCAGAAGCTCAACGCGGTGACGATACGAGACGTGGGCTCCGTGCCACACGCCGATTTATTGGCAGAAGGCGCCGCACGTAGGTCGATTTACTCGGTCTGTGATCTGTTCTCAGGCTATGATGAGGTGCTACTTGACCCTAGAGACAGGCACCTGACGGCTATGCATACGCCATTGGGACTAATACAGATGATGGTTGTCCCTATGGGTTGGACTAATGGGGTAGCCGTTTTTCAGAGAGCCATGGTAGCCGTCCTCAAGGACTTCATCCCTGATAAGGTTGAAGTTTTTCTGGATGACTTTCCTATAAAAGAGCCAGTAAACAAGGATGAGGCAGAGGTTGCACCTGGAGTTAGAAGATTCGTCGAGCAGCACCTAACGGATATTTGTGCGGTACTCGAGCAGCTGGACGATGCGAATCTAACAGTCAGCGGAACAAAGAGCCGATGGGCCGTCTCGACTATTCAGATCTTGGGCTTTATCTATGACTCGAGGGGACGCCGAGCAGATCTGGCGAAGTTAGACAAACTCCTGAACTGACCGTCACCATTACATAGTCCAACCGAGGTCCGGCAGTTTCTAGGAGTAGTCAGTTACTGGCGTACATTCATACGACGGTATGCGGAGAAGGCTGAGCCATTGAGACTACTCCTTCGAAAAACTGAGAAATTCTACCGGGATTCCTCGCAGGAATTCGCTATGCAAGAGCTTAAAGATGAATTTAAGGAGGGAGAACTCGTACTAGGCGTGCCGTTCTTTGATGATGAAGCTGGGAGACCCTTCATAGTAGCCACGGATGCTGGACCTTGTTCAGTATGAGGGTTGCTGTCTCAGAAGGACGGTAAAGGGAAGGAAAGACCATTAAGATTTGAAAGTAGGACACTTAATACGGAAGAGCGAAACTACAGTCAATTCAAGAAGGAAGTATTAATTGTTCTGCGGTGTCTAGACACGTTCAGACATTATATCTATGGACTACGGTTCATCTTGAGAGTGGATCCCACTGCGGTCGCCTCTGTCCTCCATAAGGACTTCAGCCTGATAGACCCGACCATTTTTCTGGTTAACCTTTACGAGGGCAAGCACCGAACGATCGGGCCACACCTGACGGGAGAGGAGAGTCAAGATTTCGATATCCGGAGACAAGCAGCCCATTACTGCCTTAGAGCGGGCCACCTTTTCCGAAGGCCAGTAGGGTCGGGGATGCCCTTACGAGTAGTCTGTGATCCTGAAGAGAGAAAGACGATAGTAGCGGAGCTTCACGACGGGGTGGTCGGAGGACATAGAGGAGTCAGAGGGACCTACGAAAAGGTACGCAGGCTGTACTGGTGGGAAGGA